AAAAAAAAAGAACAAACTCCGTGGCCTGTAGTCTGCAAGCGAATTATACCGACCGAGCGACCGTCGTTTGTCGGTGAAGTTAGTGCCAACTTTAGCGGATAGAGGCTGTCGCGTGGTTAGCGCAACGGATCCTCACGGCCGTTAATCTCAGTTTTCTAGACCGGAGCCGTTATTTCCTTGAAATAGCTCCTCAATTATCATCACAAGGCTGAGTGGCCCCGTTCCAGACCCAGTATTTCTCATAAAATCTGGTAGCGCCGGGAATCGAACCCAGGATCTGTGGGTCTGTAATCAGGAACTCTGACCACTAGACCACAGAGGCAGTACCTCTTGGTAATTAAAACACTTTTTGTAATTAAAGTTTTGAGGTGTTCAGTGTGTGCCGTTAGGGACGCAAGAACACCTGTCTATTCAATAAATTGCAAACGGCCTGGTGGTATGCCTCTTTTATTTTTTGTTTGTGGACAGTACTCAAACCAATGTCCCTGCGAATCATCCGTGCTCAAGGGACTGTATCTGTAACACAGCGAAATTCATTAATTTCTTCTGACGAAGCCATGCGTCCATCAAGGCGTTACATGCACACGTTCCGGAGCCGTTGTCTCCAAAATATTCACCAAAATATTCACCAAAAAGACTCATCAGTCATTCATCAATGGATCTACATCCCATTGTTGGGTCCTGGCCTCTTCTTCACTTTCGTAAATCATTTTTACATAGTCGGTAGGGCTCCTTGGACGGGGGCCCAGTCCGTCGGATGGCCGCTACTTATGCACAGACATCACAAACACAGACATCCATGCTTTGAGTGGGACTCGAACCCACGATCCCAGCGTTCGATCGAGCGAAAACCGTTCATGCCTTAGACCGCCCGGCCACTGTGATTGTAGGCATGACATTTATGTCTATAAAATATTTCTGAAGGCATGTCACAGTCCGAGGAGTACACAAAGGAAAATCCTCTGTGATTAAACGAAATTGTCAGCACGGCGATTATGCATCCGGTCGTGTGCCCCAAACAGAATCTCGCGACTTTTGTAGCCGCCCGTTCGTATTTTTCGAGATGTCCATCATAAACCTTTTTAGGTCTTCAAGGCACACAAGCAGGGAACCCAAGACCCTCCTGGCCGGTCTCGCACAAGGTCAGTTCATGGCTGTATGACACCAGGAGCAAACAGGCGACGTTAGGGACAATAGTGACACCCTAAGCCTAAGGAGGACAATAGCTGAATTACAACGAGACGGTCCCGGGATGGTATCTCGCCGGAGGAGCGTCTCACGTGGTGTGAAACAGTGCATAAATTAGTCATGACCTTAATTAAATAATTTTGGAGAGTGACGTACGGTTACACTTTCCAAAAACAATGTGAACATCCATATCACCACCTAACGGTGACGTGACCCGAACCACGCATACACCTCCTGATCCTACAGGGCATGTACATTTGTAGTTCCGGTAGCTGATAGGCCTAATTATTGTCTCGAAAAGCGAAAAAGTCACACATTAACGCAGTATTCGATTTGTAAAACGCAGAAGCTGGGCCCCGAAATGTTTCGAGCTAGCCAACAGCCAAAGGACATACCCGCCAAGAAAAGAAATTTAGGCCTAGCAATAAGGAAGTTCGTTAGCATCGGACGGTGTCTCTGTTATCGGGAAAACTGGTGAAAATAAACGAGGAATTATCTTTAATACACGGAAACTACTGACTTGCGGAAACAGAACATAAAAGTATGTGAAGTGTGCGATTTTCTGATTTGTGACGCCGTGCAGTTCGGCCACAGCCCGAAGTTTCTAGAAGGAAATTATTCCCCTTCCATTTAATGGCCAGAGATTAAGAAATCAGCAGAAGATGAATGGGATATGTTCCTCACTCCAAACTGTACGGCGTCACGACCGAAAACACAGTACTCCTCATAGTTACCGCTGTCAGAGCCTCACATATGACAGGAAAGTCTTTGCTTATTCGTTTGTTTCCTGATCCTAGGAACGCCGTTACAACGACCCGAACATGCTTAACCGCATCTGTCGAAAATATATATACATGCAGAACAATTCAAATCTTTAAGCCCAGTGGTTACTATACATACCACCCGTGTTAACATACAGAAACTCTGAATTTTACGCAAAGAGGGAATTATGTGTGTTGTGCCATCCTGACAATAAACACTGATTATTTCCCCCCACACGCAAATAACTAATCGACCTCTGTATTGGAGAGGCAGTGCGTTTTCTGTGAGCTATAAATTTAATTAAAAAGAAATATATATATATACATATATATCCTTCACACGAATTCCATGGTCTCAAGTCTTAACAGCCGCATCTTTAGTGGAAAACGTTAACTACAATTAGGCCTTACTTACTTATTCATGGAGCTGAGCCCTTCTGGAGGAGCCGCCAATTCTGCAGCTACTCAAGAATTTTCCAGCATTTTATATAACCCGAAAGTTCATTACAGTGTTCACAAGAGCCCTCCACTGGTCCCTATCCTGAGCCAGATCAGTCAAATCCATACCATCCCATCCTATCTCTCTAAGATCCATTTTAATATTGTCCACCCACCTATGCCTTGGTCTTCTCATTGGTCTCTTTCTTTCTGGTTTGCCCACCAATATTCTATATGCATTCCTCTTGTCACCCATTCGCATTACATGCCCTGCCCACCTCATTCTCCTTGACTTGATCATTCTAATTATACTTGGAGAAGAGTACAAGTTATGAAGCTCCTCATTATGCAGTTTTCTCCAACCTCCTGTCACTTCATCTCTCTTCGGTCCAAATATTCTCCTCAACACCCTGTTCTCAAACGCCCTCAGTCTATGTTCCTCCCTTAATTTCAGAGACCAAGTTTCACACCCATACAGAACCACAGGCAAAATTATAGTTTTGTATATTCTAATTTTTATGTTTTTGGACAGTAGACAGAAGACAAAAGGTTCTGAACTGAATGGTAGCAAAATTATCTGAGTTCAATCTCCTCTTAGTTTCCTCCTGAATCAGGTTTCGATCTGTTATCAACGATAACAACAATTAGGCCTAAGCAGACAAAACACAAAACTCAAAACGTTAGCAACCCTGAGTGCAATATCTGATTTTTATGGACGGCATGCGGGAAAGATGACGGCAGAATTGTTGTGGTATTCTTCAGGACACTTACACCACCCTTTATTGGATGCGATATCTCAGTCAGCATAGTAACTAGCTACGCGCTAAACGGCCGGAATTCGATTCCCAGCACGGTAAAGAATTTATCTTTGTTGCCACATCCAAACTGGCTGTGGGTGCAGCGCGGCTCTTAAATAAGAATCGGGGATTTTTTCTCAGGACAAAAGCGGCCGAGACGTGAAGCTACTCATCTCCAAGTGGTGGCGTCAGAGTAGCTATTCTGCCAAGGGTTTCAGGCGACAAATGCAAATAGACTAAAGACATTACTAAGTGTTATTCGCCTGAATAAATGATCTAAGCGGACATGTTAAAATAACCTTGAAAACCTACTCCCATTATTGGTTATGCAAGTAAATTACACAGATCTCGAAGGCACCGCTACATACATGTACACATATTCACACTTGTGTTTTACCAAAGCATTTTCAGGAATTCCTGAACCAACCAAATTAGTGGGAGAAAATCCGTGTTTCAAACCCGTGATTACATCATAAAATATGTGAGGATTTCTATTCGTGAAAAATGGTATAAACTATCCCTGTAACAGGCCGTGGAGGCCTATAGGGTTGTGAGACGTCGAGGCTCCCACATTCTCTAGACAATCGGCTCACAGATGGCGGTAAGGTTCCTATTTCTGAAACTGTACAAAATTACAGTTGTGTGAATTGTGATGCTGTACTTTAAAAACAGGACGTGTATATTCTAAAAGAGACAATTCTGTGGATAATTATTTTAGAACGAGAATCCGAAATGTTCTTATTTGACGCCGTCACTCCAAATAGTGATATCTAACACTGAAGAACATCACTCGAGATTCAGTACCAAAGGTTTAAAGAAGCCCTACATGCCATTTATGGGTGTGCGAGTGAGTGCAGTAGCAATAATTTCATTCTGTTTCTTTTTTGTGTGTTTTATTTAATTATGCTTTCGATAACTAGGCTTGCATAACATCTAGCTGTTGGATGATACTCCAAATTGAATTGCAAAGGACGTGGAAAAGAATTTAGCCCAAGGAGGGCTGAGGGAAACGACGAAAACTGGAAGCCGGTATCCTGGGAGAGATTTTAACCGGACATCTCTATAATATACATGCCAGAAACGCTACCGCCAGGTCCAGCTTGCATCGCTTCTATTCTTGAAAACGCAAAAATCCGCACCCGTTGTCAACTCATTTCTGTGTTGAGAACTATCCCATGTATAATTACACGACAGATCTCTCTGCATAAGAAAATTTGTATTTCATATGGGGGACACGAAATATCACACACAGAAGGTATGGAAGACGCCTGCTATACCGACCTAACCGTTCAGATATAGATACAACCTACGTCATGCTTTCAAATCTTGCCTAAGAATGGCGCTTATAACACCGACTGGCGTACCCTCTTGCGGCGAAACTACGAATGTCTACGGCAGTTGCAATTCAGCAATGGTCGAGTAGGGTATGGAGGGCGTAGCTCGTGATGTTTAGCAGTGGGGGGAGCTGATGGTACAATGGTGGGGAGAGAGGCGGAGTTTTCGAGATTGACTCCCAAGCGCATTTAACGTACGAGTTCACCTACGGGTGGAGCGAATATATTGCGCATGTCTTTCTACGTCACCGGAAGTTGTGATGGGCTATTTGGAGGCGGGGTGTATTATAGGGGTGGGGAGATGATTTATGATATGGGATTGAAACATATAGAAGGGGGATGGAATTAGGGGTAAACTGCGGGAACGCGGAGAGGGAATATACGTCCTAACAGAGACCAGAAGGCTGGCGTCGTAGTCAGTGCAGTTCCAGGACGAGTTGAGAAGTTGCGGTGCGAGTGATTGGTATATGGGAGTGGGGAGAGGCCCCCCCGAGTATGCATTGCAGGTTCCTGAAAATTATTTCACTGCACATATGCGAAGCTTTTCTACAAAAAAAAAAAAGACTTTATGGAATCTGGTGCTTGTCGGATTACTTTCTGAAGAAGTGCCTATGCCGCCACATGTCGTGTGATGTACGCACTGGATGCCAATACATTGATGACGTCGCCGTGTGACTTGCAGAATACGCGGAGTGCGGTCAGTTCCTCAGAGACTGTGGACTAACTCATAAAGACGCTTTAAAAACGGTGAGTGGCCTTGCGTGGAGCGACGCACGGGCTGTAGTAGTTCGGGGCCCTTCAGGAACAGAAGTCACCGAATTCAAAATGTATTTCAAAATCACGAGTGGCTTTGTGAGTGGTATAGCGCTGTGCTTACGGTTTACAGCTTAGGTAATTTTTAAAAGTTTGTGACGATGGTACATTAGTACAGATATTATGTTTCTCGACATCTGTCGTCCTGTTTTAGATTTATCCATCGTCCTGTTTTTATCTAAAACACCGTCCTGCTTATATATAAACAGGACGATGGATAAATCTAAAACATCGCCCTGTTTCTATTATATAAACAGGACGGTGTTATAGACAAAAACAGGACGATGTATAATGTCCAGAAACATAAAATTTGTAGGTTCTTTTCTTTTTGGGGGGTGGGGACCCACAGAGGTTTCCAAATCGAAAATATTTTCAACGATTTTGAGTGGAGTGATTGATACCGGTTGTTAATTTCTGGCAGAACTTGCTCGAACCAAGATATGGTTTAGGAGCTATTAAATGGTTTTGCTTGAAGTGGGCGTTGCGCTTCATGAAGGCAGTTACTTTTGTTGCAGATGTACTAAATCCAAAACATATTTTGAATTGTGAGTGATATTGCGTGGAGTAAGGCGGCGGATTGATTTGATGCCAGTTAAGATTAATTTCTGGCACAGACCTTCTACGCATTGGGAGTCTCTTTCTTTAGTGTTACGAAGTGCCTGGTGTTGATACCAGTTCTGATCACAAATACTGCATTAAGTTCAAAATATCTTTAATGTAAAGTTATACCCCTGCTTACAGTAATGCGTCGTGGTTGAAGCTGGCACGGGACCAGCCACATCCAAAAGGTATTTTAATTTATGAGTGGCTTTGCTCCGAGTGACGCAGCTGCTAAACTCACCAATTCCGAGTACTTTTGGCACAACTGCTAAGAAATCCAAAATACATTTTAAAATTCTGAGTGAATTTGCTGCAACCTAATGTTCACATCGATCTGATTCAGTTTGGCACGAAGCCTGCATTAATTCCGAAATATGTGTTAAAATTATGCCTTTCTTGTAGTAACCTCGTGGTTCCGGTTGAAGGAAATGTGTTTCGTTTGGCACAGAACTGTTGAATTCAGGTTGTACACGAGGTATAACTGGCTTAATTTGCCTGAAATTGAGGATACTTAAAAGTTTAGTGAAGCAGGTTTTCAAAGCTAACAGTGAATTGAAATCAGTTCTGAATACTCACCCTGGGCCTTCAATTTCGGCGTTTCTCTCAGTTTTTGTTTCCCCGATACTCCGCACCGCCCTAAAGTTCTGACCCAGTCTTTAATTTCTTTCCTGATCCTGTTATTAAGCTTTCCGTTCACGTTGGCCCGTGTTCAGCATCTCACACCTGAACAGTGCCAATATTTTATTCTGAAACACGTGTTGCAATTGGATTCAGGTTACCCCACGAATTGAATACGACATTCTCGGTTATCTTGCCGCCAATTTCGAGGTGCGATTGGAAAGATTTCTGACGTCTTTCATGAAATTAATGGAACGCCGCCAAAATTTCTAAGATGATAATGCGAGAACGGACGCTAACGTGTAACGCAACCAGTGGCCGATTCGCATGTTGGGTTGAAGCAAAATGAACTACACTCTGAAACACATGCTACCCCATGAAAACAGTTCAGCTTGAAGGAATAAAATCAACTAGTTACTACAGGATTCTGACGATGGTGTATAACACACTGATATATTGGGTTTTCGGACTTTATCCATCGTCCTGGTTTTTAAGATAACTAAGAGAAACACGACGTTTCGGAAACTGGATCTGTTTCCGTCCTAAGGTGAGGGAAAACACCTATTCTGTTGGGTCCCTTAGAAAGAGTTAGCCTCAGTCAGTGGACGTTTCACAAGCAACCTATCCAGTTCACTTTATCTCTTAAAGTAACAACATTGAGAAAACGCTACGTTTAATCTCAAATTTAGTGTGGTGAATATAGAGTGTTCTCACTTTACTTTCGCGACAACTGTAAATGCAGAGTGAAATTCATGTATGATATTGCCCATGTGCTTCCAATTTAAAATGTTAACGAATACGTGCGTAACTAGAGACAATGAAGAAAATGTAGGCCTAATTCAACTTTAGAATTTTGAAGAACGTCAGCTTTCATGCTGCCCCGCCCAGTCTGTCGCCACCATCTAAAGCTCATTACAAAATAAAACAGGACTTTCGGTCCTGTAGTTAGAACTTAACGTAATAAGGCATGTGAAGTTAATAGACCTAAAGAGGCAAACGATAAGACGCATAAATCATTGAAAAAAAAATTCTGGAGATTAGCTGTATCGAAGTGTTTCTATTAATGATATGTGGTAATTCCAAAATGAACGCGTCATAAGGCGTAATCCATTAAAAGCTGAAGATGGGGATGAAAGATATTTCATTCTTTACGAAATGCGAACATTGCTTAGTTGCCAGCGCTGAGGTTATGTTGATGGATAGGTAGTGGAAAGCAATGTCCAGGTGCTTCGGCGACTGAAATGTTCCTTACACGTGGAAATATAATTCTTCACTACTGAGTGTAATGCACGCTAACTTTAGTACAATGAACCGCCATAGCTTCAGGCCTCCGTGCAGTGTGTTCAGCCTGAGATGAATTTTTTTGCAAATTATATATATATATATAAATCCAGCCCGTACCTCACAGGAAACACATTACGTCTCCGCTAAAAAGGCCAACCAGTTAATGCTGTTTAAGGAAACCGTCGCTATTTATATTGAGAACCATACGGAACACATAGATACAGAATGTAGAGTTTTGGTATGTTGAAGCAGGTGGTACATATACCAACCACTGTACCTTAATTAAGGTTCTCATGTGGGTTTGTCTGTCTGTGCAGTGCAGTGACTACATCGAGAGGAATACAATAAAATTTGTTGCTTCGTAAATCAAGAATTTTAAACAGTTAAAGTCTGGATAAGTAACTTTCATCAAACGTTTGCCGTTCGCAGGCTATTTACTGTTGAATATTTTTTTTGTTTATGTTTCCCCTCCAAAAATGTTCCTTTCCTTCCTATGCATTTTTAACCCTTGCGAAAGAAGATCTCCTCCCCCCCCGAAGAGTAATTCCCCCCTCACTCTTCCATATGCCCTTGTGGCGTTCCCTCCTTGGGCGCTCCTCCAAGATTCCCCCTCCATGAGTTCCCTTCCTACTTCCCATTTCCCCTCCTTATTCTTTTCCTTTGCGCCTCCTCTGTCCTCTCTCTCTCTCTTTTTTTAATATTATTCTGTGTGCCCTCCTAGTCTCCCACGGCACGCAAGGAGCTGGCTGGCTCGTTCTCTTTCGTTCTGCTTTCCACAGCCTCACAGGCCGTGTTTCGCATTGCCCGCTCTCAGCCCAGCCGTCCTCGACAAGCAAGTAGCAGTATTCCCGCTCATTTAATGTAGGAAGAAGCCTTCTCGTCACGTGCCGATAGCTGGGTCTTATCAGAACACCGACCGGTCACATGACACAAGTACGTTCATCAGCCGTGGCCCACCCCTCTGTGCATTACGTGATAACAGCTTCCTACACTGTGCGCTCCCTTGTTTCAGGTTCTGCGGCGGGCGTAACACCCAGTGCAGGAACCAGAAGGCGGAGGAGAAGAATTCTTTTAAAGTGGCCCGAAAGGTGCAACACAACTCATAAATCAAAGCGGATGTAGAAAGTGTCAGACAGACGAGTGAACTTAACAATGTGCTTAACTGCGAAACCGGCGCTACGATGTCCGTTGGTACCACTACAACAGGAGACTCATCATCACACCTGTTAGCCCTGGGTTCTTCGCCAAGGTGACCAACACTGAAACCAACAGGTAAGGCCAACCGCCTTCCTCTCACAATAACTTGTTGCCCTTTTAAATATTTTCAAAACTGCTCGCCATTTTCAGTGTGCGGATATTAGGCTCAGTAGTTAGGCCGTATCCGTTTTAATGAATTTATGGAGGAAGGCGCTACGTGTTGTGTGAGGCCACTTCTATACGTAACAGTTTATTACACTAAACTAAATAGGGACTTGAGCTCAGTGCAAAACCGAACTACGTTACTCCGTAGCAAGTATATCTCTACGTCACATTTCGTTCTGTGCCAGTCAGAGACTGTGTGTAGGCTGAGTTACAGGACGTGCGCGAGGTGGCAGATTTTCGGTGTAAATACAGAAGCACATGGCATTCTGGATGAGTGTTCGGTTGAAGTCGTGCGTAAAACCCGTGTCTCTTGTCAGAATATGGACCCATCATCCTTTCGAAACGTCGTCTACCTGTTATGTGGAAGAAGTGCACCTGTTGTAACGGAAAGGCAATTTGTTCCCATCCACCACCTTCTAATAACATATATATATTGTCGGCATTCTTTGTCTCTCTGTTGAGGTTGCGACCGAAGACAATCCGGGATCTGTCCCTCACGTCTGTCCTTTGTAACGGCTTTCAGTCTCTCTCTCTCTCTCTCTCTCGTGGTACCTGCTGCGTATTATCCTACATCCACTTCTGAAGATTTCTAGTTTTGTGTCAGTTTTTGTGTGTTGACGGCCGTGGCGCGTGGCACACTGAAGAAAGGAAAAAGAGGGGTTGGACCAGGGTATAACCAAACATCGGGTAGAGTTCCTTAGAAGAAGTGGTATATTATGCACTTCGGTTTTTGTGTTTCGTTCTGCTTGTTGGCACTGTCTGGGACCCCCAACTGCAAGATGACAAATGCCGAAAACTCCTTTGAAGTGACAATTTTTTGGGACAATATCATTGGATTGTACCTCCGCGTAATCGGGGGGGGGGAAGTCGAAAATTTCGAAGGAATATCGCTTCCATCTGCGGTTTATTTACCGTACTACATGGCATTAAGGCCATGAGGGCGTACGATTCACAGTGACCGCTGTGAGACATCAAATCAAACATTAATGTTGGAATGTCCTTGATCATAAATAAGTACAAATGAGAAACTTTACTATTTGAATCTCTTGCATGATAGCAGGAAACTGCATACTGTCCTATCCACGTGAATGCCCTCGAAACTAAAGGGAAGCAAGCGCCATGTCATGCGACAGGCGACTGAGCTGTTGAACCTTGCTGCCTCTATATCCGCCGCGCCTGCATGCGTCTTCCCTCACATCTATAGGATCTGACGTTAGGTACAGAAATCTCTTCTCTCGCGATTATAGCAGGCTGCTTTAGTCCCCTGTCGAGAGGCCCCTAATCCGTTTCTGATAGCTTGCATTAAGAGGTTCTCCAGGGTCTGCACGGTTCAGGTTTTGTGGAGACTCAAGAGAAAGACGTGTTTAGATACAGCGGGAAAAGAATTGGGGACAATGCCTGCATTGAATATTGGTTTCAGTGGCATTATGGGTTATGGGCAAAGATATTGAGGAGAGGTTACTGCAAGAAGGATATACGTCATCGTCCACAATGGAGATGACATTATTAAAATAAAACTGGGTGTCTGAATTGGCGCTTAAAAATTGTGATCATAAGCGAAAATTGTGTTTGTGTAGTGTTCGTGTTACCAGGCTTCCCAGACTGGAAAGAGGACGCGAAGACAGCTCTTAGCATGTTGGAACATCCATCGGTTTTGCTTGCTACCGTCCGCTGCAGCAAACGTGAACTTGCGTTCCCTTTTCTAATCTTGCTTCTAGTACCAAGAGAGGAAATTAGTTCGTGGGTCGTTCTATCACTGTACATATTTGTTTTACACATTGGTTGAGGCAATTTTCGACAAATCGGAAAGTCGCGTGTTCGATTCCCGTCATTGTATTTTTCAGTGGACCTGATCCTACCAGCGGCACTATGGCCCTGGGGTCGATTCAGCATCTAACAGAAATGAGTAACAGGAATCTTCTTGGGCGTAAAAAGCGACCGGCGCGTGAGCGAATTGTCTAGAGAAAATGTGGGAGCCTGAATGTGTCACGACCCTTTGTGCTAACACGGCATGTTACAGGGCTAGCTTTACCTTTTTATTATTTTTTCCCTTTGGCGCTACAGCCCTAAATTGGGCCTTGGCCTACCTCCATGAAACACTCCGTTTCACGTCGGTTTACCAGATCTTAGACATTCGGTAGGACTCCTTGGGCGGGTGATCAGCTCGTCGCAAGGCCTCTACCTGTACACAAACACAGACAAATGCACATACACACACAAACATCAAGGCGTCCATGCCCTGAATGGGATTCGAACCCACGATCCCGGCTTCCGAGCAAGCGAAGACAGTTCATGCCTTAGACCGCTCGGCTACAGTGACCGGTCTTTTATTATTACTATTATTAATTATTGTTATGCATAGCGAAATGTAAGCCGGTCACGGTAGCCGAGCGGTCTAAGGCATGCACTGTCTTCGCTCGCTCGGAAGCCGGGATCGTGGGTTCGAATCCCACTCAGGGCATGGATGTTTGTGTGCGTTTTTCTGTGTTTGTCTACAGGTAGAGGCCTTGCGACGAGCTGATCACCCGCCCAAGGAGTCCTACCAAATGTGTAAGATCTAGTAAACCGAAGTGAAACGGAGAGTCTCATGGAGGCAGGCCTAGGCCCACTGGGACTGTAGTGCCAAGGAAAAAAAAAATAGCGAAATGTAAAGAGAGATCTAGTTTGTGTGTATTGGACGCAAAGTTTTTGCCCCACATTATGAGAAGAGGTGTGCACAAGCGAGTGTGCTCGCTCCTGCATGAACTGCTGTCACACCCGATGTTACCAGTCGGTATTTCTCGCTCTCTTGTATTGAGACGCCACGCTCAACAAGAACAGAATGTAGGCTATACCCAGTGGAGCAGGGACCTCTGTTACAACAGCATTCGGTACAAACAAAGCAATTTGTGATTGTCTCTTGCACTCATCAGGTTGTACAGGCTTCTCCCTAGCCAGTGCATTTCAGCCATTTTCTTCTGATTAATTAATTTACATACAGTTTCTCAGTGAGCCGGGATAGCGACTGCTACGGGCTGGACGACAGAGGGGTCGGTGTTTGAATTTCGGTAGGGTAAAGAATTTTCTCTTCTTCTTGACGTCCAGACCGTCTATCCAGTGGGTACCGGGGGCTCTTTCACCGGGCCGTGAAGCTGACCACTCACCTCCAACTAGTGTCGAGGTCAAGAATGCGTGGATCTATACATCCACTCCCCCATACGCCTTCATGGAGTAGTTAAGCACAGGAACAACTTCACGTCGCCTCTGTAAACAACATGACACTGTGCCGGTCTCTTTAATGTTGCAGAGAAGCAAGATTCTGCAAATCAGGGTATGACCTTGTCCCTTCAACCTCTACCCCAGGCAGTCTTCATTTCCCAGTCACAAGGTAAAGTTGTCCCCGTGACTAATTAGTTAAGCTCCACACCATGAAGACGTATGGGGGAATGGATGTATAGCGCCACAATTCTTCATCTCTGCATTGAATAGAGGTGAGTGGTCGGCTTCACGACCTGCCCGCTTTACCCCCGGGGAAGGAGCCACCGGTACCCATTGGATAGGGAGGCTGGGTGGGCCCCAGAGCCGGTCCGGGCGACGCGGAGAAGGAACAAATCTTGACCCTACCGACGTTAGTAAGCGAAAGTCTTTACATGGTGAAATGCTGGAATGTGCTGCACTCTAGCAGCCGTACTGACGAACTGCAGTAACTTATCGTATTGATATGAAAGCAAATATAAATTGCTTTCTCAAGTAGGCCTATCGCGTGACTCCTATCGAGTTAATCCTGTTCGTCTGAACACATTTGTCTGGGTTCTGCGATGTAATGCTTATTTTCATATTATAATAATTAAAAAACAATATAATTTTAATATCTTTTTACCAAGGTACTTGTATCAACGCCGATCAGAGTGCCCTCGCGGTCTAAGGTCGCTCGAGCGCTGTGATCATGGGTTCGAATCCGATTCAAGGCATGGATATGTCTGAGTGCGCGTTTATTTTGTGTTTCTGTTGTCCCATGTGTAGGTAGTGGCCTCGAGACGGGCTTATCCTCCACCCAGGGAGTCCTACCGTCTGTGTAAAAACGACCACGAAATTGAAGAAGAGGCCATGGCCTAACAAAGGACTGTAGGGTCAGCGATGATTGCACCAAAACAAAAATAGAACATTGAGACACAGAACAAAATACCAGTAGACAATATAACGAGTACAAACATACCCATCACATTTCGAGCCTGTACTGATCTCTGCAACACGACCTGTAGTGGCCCACATCTACTGAACACCGTTACTACCACGAAAACATACAGCTGTGTGCCTTGGAACGTGTGGACAACTTAATTAATTTAACAATGGTTTTTGTTCCGAAATTTTTCGCGGAAACTGCGTTTGCTTTTTCACAGGCATAAACGCGTGCACTGAAAATGTGACGAGGGTTTCAAATTCTCGTTGTCCGTGTTGCGATATCTCGAACCTGTCTCGAGATTAGAAAGCGTACGGAGGCTTACCGAACGTGGGCAAGTTACGTACGTTGAGTTACCGGCCAAGTTACGCACTAACATGTACTAACCATCGTCATCAGGAAGTTTTCTGCACTTGTTTACCGCGCGCACACACCCTCTAACATGGGTGTGGCTGTTCTCTCGTGACAGCTATAAAGGGCCATTCTATTTTAACAAGCAAACATGAATATTGTTTTCATACCCGAACAAACAAAATTTTAAGTAACGCTCTACGTTTTGTTCTCGATGTATCGATTTTTTTTTTTTTGGCGCGCAAGCTGATGTTCTGGCGGTAAGTGACGCTGGGGTTCCCGCCAGGAAGAAAACGCTTGGGCGCGGCGCGTGGAGCCTGCTACGTCAGCACGCCGCAATGCACTGCTTCTTACATGCTGTTACATGACGTAATTCTTATTCATTATGATCATACAGGAT